CCAAACCCCCTCCCCCCAGCAACCCTCAGTTTGTTTTGTGAGATTAAAAGTCACTTATGGTTTGTCTCCCTCCCAATCCCATCTTGTTTCATTGATTCTTCTCCTACCCCCTTAACCCCCCATGTTGCATCTCCGCTTCCTCTACATATGATATTCTAATCATAGTGTTCACCTTCTCCTTCCAGCCCAACAGTGGTAACCCTCCTTGCATCTGTTTGGGAAGGGAAGGGATTTGGTGGTCTTTCCTCTGTATAGCTAACTCAGCAGAAATACTGCTCATTTCCTGGCTGGTTGCGTAAGAGGACTGCTGAGTTAGTTCTCTTGGTAGGATTTGGTTCACTTTCTTGAGGTACATGTAAAGGGATAGATACGGTAGGTTATGTTTCTCTTAACTGCTCTGACCTTTTATAGTGCATATTCTGCAAGTTTATAAGGATCAGAGTTAACTGAGGTGTAGGTTGAGGTAACTCTAAAGGGAACTACAAGGTAGAAAGAAAAATACTCTAAAATGTCCATTTTTTATATGACATACTATTACCTCATTAGTGCTGGTATAAGGAACCATTAGTTCATTTCTCAACACTGAATAATTCTAGTAGAGAAGCTTTGGAACACCCAGTGCTGGAAATATCTGTAAAATTAGAGAGGGTCAGGGAGGGCCTGGAGAGGCCTAGGAGAGAACAATATAGAACTTTCTGACAGGGTAGTAAGAACTACCGTATTGAGCTCCTATTGCATACCTGACTGTTAATTTCTGTACACACCATACTACTTAATCTTCACTGCAAATCATTGCGGTAGATAAGATTATCCCCATTTACACAAGTGAGAAGAGATTTTAGATCAAGTAGGTAATTTTTAACCTAAGGTCACATCGTAAGTTTTAAAAACTCTAGTCAAGTCCACTGCAAAATGAATGTGGTTTTAGCTTCTGTTAGGTCATCCCTGCTACTCTAGTATCCAAACAAGGTCTCTTTCATACATGATAAACCTCTTCAGTTGAGCCCTTTAGAACAGTTTATCTATATAAAGCTGAAATACAGATACTCTAGAAAAAGTAAGAAATGCGATGACATATTTGTTATGTTTTGTCCTCTAGGTGGCCATATTAATCTTCCATTTTTTTGAATTACAGAAGGAAATGATATCTATAAGAAATTTTTCCAGGAAAAATAAACATTAAATAATATATCCAATTTCCTTTGTTCACAGTTTTAATTTTATCTTTGCTGTGTTCTTAAAATTAAAGGCACTTTCTGATAATCCTATTTTATTTTTGAAAGGTTTCAGAGTTAAGTAGTAGGCTATGGCTATCTTGTTCAACAGTTGATAACTAGAACCTCTGAAATTCCATTCATGTATTTTTATGTTAGATAGGAGAAGCATATTAAAGATGATTTTATAAGTAAAGAACAAATTTAGTGTAAAATTATTAGAATGTCTTTTATTTATGACTTTTCATTCTTAGTTCACCACAGAGATTACCAAGCTATATTTACATATTGTGGCATACTATAGAACTAGAACCATATGTTGTTATTTTAGGGTGAGTTAACTGAAAATGCTATTTAAAATAATTTCCAGCCCCACTTATTTCTTTGGGGTGTGTGGCCCAGACATATACACACCTGTCATTCTCTTTCTTATGGCTGCTTCACAAGATTCATGCTGTTAATTTTGATGTTATATTAAAATTAGGAGCATTAAAACATATTGACTTGTACATTTTATTTAAATGTTACTTTTAAAATAATTTAGTACTGAACAA